ATACGGAGTGTTCATCGTAGTGATATCCATTACTTTTTTATCATTTGTAATGATCGGACAGTTCTGGATGCAATTAATCTGTTTTAAACGGCAATAAGATGCAATAATAAAAGTTTCGGAAATGTTATTTTTTTATTAAAAAACTGAGATTATTTTCACTTTTTAAAATAAAACCGCATCTTTTCTTATCCGTGGTATTATAAAAAGGATCAAAACAAATTTAATAGTAACTTATAATGTTATTTTTATTAACATTCAACAGTAGAAATAAAGATAGAAGATACGATAATATTTGGAATACAGTGTAATGAATAATGTTAGGCGTGCTTAGTACATTATCTATTACACATGTTTAATTCATTTTGTGCAACACAAAGTTCCATCTTTAGTAAAAGAGTTTTACATGTCGCATCAATTAGCATACTTTGGATTTATGTTTCTGCTTGCTTGTGTTATACGTTGTTGAAATTTTTTATTATTATTTTAATGTGCTCTTTTTGCTTGAAAATAAAGTAATAAAGATAATATGATTCCATTTAGAAAGTAAATGTTACGATTGCGATAAAAAAACGCCTTCGGAATTTTTATTGTTGCATTTTATTGCCGTTTAAAAACTGATTAATTGCATCTGGAAGTTTTTTCTGTTCAGTCTCTGCTACAGGATATGCCGTTCCGGTGAACATATCCTGTATTCAGTATATATATACATATTCTATACAGAGAGAACGATTTGATTGAATCAAATAAATACTTCTTTGGAACAGTCCAAACGAATTTTTTGATTGATCGAATAGAATTTTGTTTGACGCAACAAAAATATTTATTTGCGGCTTAATTTCAAAGAAATATTTTTGTTGTGTCAATTAAATAATTGTTTGGACTATTCCAAAGAAACATTTATTTGATTCAATAAATCGTTCGATTCAATATTCTCTCTGTGTACGTTTCAAAAGTTTCAATATTTGTATTTGAAAATCGAAACTCTCTCTCTCTACAAAAACGTTACGGTCTTACGGTCATCTGATGGGCAACGTTTGAGTCTGAGTTCGCGCGTTGAGCGCTGAGTCGCGCAATTTGTAACTGATCGCAGAGCAGATTATTTAATTGCGATACGGCGATTAGTCGGCGATTAGTTAATCAAGGAATGAATCGCGCGACACGTTCGATGACTCGCTCAGGGCATTATATCGTCGCGGCAGCTTCGGACGCCGCGGTTAGGATTCCGACTCGGCGGCCTCCGCGATGCATACCGGGCCGTCATTATAGACCGCGGATCGGAAGTTCGTTATGACTGAGGTGAGAGGGTTTCGTTAAGGGCCCCGGCAGTCTCGTTACTCGCGGGTTCTCACGCTGCCCGACGCGTAACGCTGCATTCGCGCGAGTCCTTTTGCGCAACGCGCGCTCCATGTGGACTTCCAGACTCGTTCGTACGAGCAAGTTTTAGCGACGATTAGCATACTTAATTAGGCGCGTCAGTCCCGCTAACTCGTCGTTTTGCGCGTTATATGTGCCCGGTCGAACATCCGAAGCGACCTATACGGGGCCCTTTATGCACTCGCAGTAGCGTAACCATCACCCGGAACTGTGCGCGGGGCCGCAAAGAGCTCTGCGCGTGCACTTCGCGAAGATAAGACCTGGAGGAATTGAGACGGAGTCGCGCGCGTCGGGTTGGTTTATCTTGCGATTATAAACGACCTTCATCTAGGTACGCGCGCGACGACTTCCGGAATTAACTCAATCGCCGTAAAACCGGTAGATTAAACATTTTTCATTGTAGCGTTGAGAACCAAGAGGGATAATTTCCCGATGTAGCGTCTCCTTGCAACCGCGCGCTTTTAACGTAATATGAATTTCCACGAGTCGCGTGTAATTAACGTGTAATAATCCGTATCTTCGGACGACCATCTTCGACGAGAGAACTGAACCTGATTTCTTCTCCTTGAGGAGATAATTTATCTTCTTTGACCAAAAGGAGCAACAATATTCGGTAATTTTGTGTAGAGGAAACTGCTAAAAGAATATTGAATTTATATTATATTTGGATTTTAATTTTGAATATTGAATTTATATTATATTTGAATTTTAATTTTGAATATTGAATTTATATTATATTTGAATTTTATATATACGTATATTTTTATATACGTAATTAAATAATATATACTTGCATTGAAAAAATTTATAATTATTTCTGTACAGAAATGTATTTATTGCCTGCAACTCTTGCACACTTTTTTGCTTTCTTTTTTTAATAAGATAAAACAGGCGAATTTTATTAAAAAAAACTATTTCTTTTTTCTAATTTTTTAATTTCTTTAAAATGAGCTAAAAAATTCAATTGTCTGAAGATCAAAATTTTGACTCGACTTCGACTATAATTTTATAGGAAACTTTCATTTCTTTTACTGGGCTATTGTAAACATAAATTATGTAAGAAGGTATGCAAAAGCTGCAGGCAATAAGCGCTGTGACGTCATTTCTGCACAAAAAATTACAAATTATTTTTTAAATCCAACTATATCATTTTTTACATCTACAAAATTCAAATATGTTCTCTCAGTAGATTTTTCCAAACAAATTCCCAAATATTCTTGCCTTGTTAGGCTCCTGAAAGAGTAATTAAAGATAGCGCTCTTCAACGACAAGTTGCGTTCTTCTCAATATTCAACCCGTCGTTATTTACAACTGCTCGTTGCGCAGTCTCGCGAACAAGCCCGCGAGGAGCCGAAAGCGCGGTTACGCCATTGGGCACGCGAAAGGACCATACAGCGAACGTAAATCGGAGAGTCGAGAGGAAGAGGAACGAGATCTGCCCCGTGAGTCGACGACTCGCGCACGAGGATGCGAGCGTGCGAGAGATTAAAACGAAAAACTTGGCCTCCCTCCCAGCCTCCCTGCCCGCGCGCTACCCTTTTTTCCTCGCTGCGCCTGAAAGAGCGTCGTATTCGGCTGTGGAGAGGATACCGGGTCGCCTGCGGCGAGTTCAATGGGTGCTCTCCTCTCTGCCGAAGCCCTTTGCCGAGATTGAGGGGAAGGTGCGCGTCGATATATCGCGTATGTGTGTGAATTTCGGTGAAACTTTCCTCCTTACCCTTCAACACATACACACACACTCTCTCTCTCGTTCTCGCTCTCTCGCTCATTTACTTGTTGCTTCTCGCTGGTAGGAAGAAAACGGTTCCTTAATCACAGCCATATTCATGGACCGTAACTTCCGTGTGTCAGACCACGGCTAAATTGGAGATCTGAATTTTACACCTCGACAGATTCCCCCTTTAGCCGACCAAAATAGCTGTTTAGCTGCGCTCCCGTGATTTATGTCACATCCGTCTGCTGTTATACTAATATATCGCGTACTGATATTAATTCCCATCTTTCTTCTTTTGCTCAATATCGATATACATGTGCGCGAGTACCTTCGCGATAGTCATTCCGGAGTAAAATCGTTTGAAGAATCTTGATGGACTTGGAACCTTGTAACTGTAACCTCGAAGGTAGCGCGTGTCTCGCGTGGGGAGTGTAACTCCGCGCGGCTCGACTAACGCAAATTCGATTAGCGATACGCCTCGCGAGCATGTCGGTCTTGTTGCGAAGTCGCGGCTTCAATATTTCATCGTTTGAGCTACTTCCAGTATCGATCCGATCCTGATGTTCTGCATGAATTCTGACGCTATATCCATCGGTCAAGTACTCGCGGCAGGTCATTAACGAGGACTTTGCCAATCCTTCGATTGGGCCGCTCTTCACGTGGTAACGAATGGATTCGTCTGACTGCGAATCGTGCTGCTTTCGTTTGCTTCTTAATTATCCACGCCTGTGAAGCCCGTGGATATCAAATTACCATGTTAATGAGTGCGAAAAGTCATCACAGCGTGGCTGCACCTTTTTTTATGAGAATCGCGACCCAAAAGAGGAATTAGCAAATGAACAAAAATGCAGCAAATGAGCGTTATAAATAAGATAACCAGATTATTTCCCAGCCTCAAATGCGGGACGTTTCATAAGTCTGTGAATGGGGGTGGTAAAAGATCACTGAAAATTATTTATATATGTATACATATTTAAAAAAATATTTTATTTATAAACACGTGAAAAATAGTTTGATAAAAAACTGCTGTATGCAGTAAAAGTGAAAACTATTGCTAAGATAAAATTTTGGTTATTTTTACTTAAAATTAAGAAGAAAGAAAAGCAAAGCTATATTGCCTCTTTATCAGAGCTGTGAATTTCTTGAGAAGGTATTTCTTTCAGTATTTAAAAAGTCCTCTGGACCGGTATAAACCGGGACAGTTTGGCCGAATCCGGGGCGAATCAGCGTTCCGGATAGCTTTAGAAGAAATCCGGGACAAGGTGTAACAAACTGGGGACTGTCTCGTGAAAAACGAGACGTCTCTGGTCATTATTAGAAATAAATTATGCGAACGGTCATCTCATTACTTTGAAGACGTAAAGAGAATGATGTGACGTACCGTAATTTAGCCGAGGTATCCAAGCAAGATAGTTTAGGCGCGATCTAGTGCAAAAAGTGCACAATGATTAAACGAAGTGACAGGCAGAAATGCAGGTTGCACGCGCGCTGACATATAAAATGCGAAATTTAGCATCTGCGGATGTGTACGCCAGCGTCTCGACCCGCTCCGTCGGTTCTCCTCAGAATGCGGTGCAAAACTATTTATAAATCGTTGAAAATATCATGCGATTGAAACTGATAGACGTCTAGTTTACCATCGATATCGAGTCGCCGTAATTACACTCGACTCAAGCTAAGCTTCTTTCAATCCTAAAACCTGATTTACGATGTTTTTTGCTTCTTGTTCTCTATTTTTTCCTGGCTCAACGTTCAGCAGAAAAAGGTGAAAGAAAAGAAATAGAAAGCAAAAAAAAAACGCATTGCAGATCAGGCTTAAATGAACACACTTTTACGATGACACACGAGCGATTCTTAGCGCTTTCCGTTCGAGATCTTTCTCGCACGGCATATCCTCGAAAGTGATACCGACCTTGAAAGCAGCCCAGCAGGACGATCCCGAGGACGATCGAGACTTGACGACGCATTCTTCCGGCTGTTATCTCCCGATTACCACGACGACGTTCCCGGCGGTGGTGACTTTACGAAACGATATCCTCGCGCCGGCGAAATCCTTGGGCCGTGTGGACGATTATCCTGTTGCGATGCCCTCGTCACCGAGGTCGTGCGAGGAAAGAGGAGGAGGAGAAAGAGGAGAAAAAGGAAGAAGAAGAAAAAGAAGAAGAAGAGGAAGGAGGCCGGAGGTGGCTCGAGGAAGAACGGTGCCGAAAGAGTCCGCGAGGCAGGAGAGGAGGAAGTGCCCTCTTCGACCTCTATCGTCCTTCGAGGTCCACGAACGACTGAGGCGCACGAAGCGACGTCGGTCCGGCTATAGCCTCCCCTTCCTACTTTCACGTGGCGTGCTCCCGTTTCCAGTGGAGGCGCGGACTGGAGAGCCTCTCCATGGGCCATTTACCATTACCATCATCGTCGACGGCGACCGTCAAAAGGAGGAGGTCTGCCGGCCGCGCGCGCGAGAGAGGTGGGGAAGAAACGTACCCCACCGGTCCCGTTCCCCGCGTCTCTCCCTCTGGGCGCACTCCGCCACCGCCGCCGTCGTCGCTTCTGGTGATACCACGGAACGCACATCGCCGACCGGGGAACACCACGTCCGTTTCTAGGCCAGCTCTTCCTCCTCCAGCGTGTTACGTCCTTCTTCTGCTCTTGTCGTTCTCTTCCGCGGCCGCTTCTTCATCCACCTCGGCCAATTTCTTCGCCGGCGTCCTCCTCTCGTCCTCCTCTCTTCCCTGCTTGCTCGGCCTTTCCCTTTTCCGTGGCCTGTCTCTCGTCGCGCGATTTCGCGGGAGGGTCTCGTCCTACTGGCCGTGCGCGCGGCGTCTTGGAGGCCAAGGATACCGCCGCGCGTCCTGACACGGATCGCGGGTGGTAACGAGGACTCGGAGAACGAGATCGAAGGACTCGCCGCCGGAACGAACGTCGCGGCAAGGCTTCCTCTCGCGCGCGCGCCGGTACGCGTCCGGTTTTGTGACCGAGAAGACGATGAAGAAAATGAGCCCGCGGAGATTTGCACTGTTGATCGCGCACAATGTGTACACACCGGCGGGGCGCTGAAGCGAGCGACCCGACGTGACGTGACGTGACGCTCACTTCGTCACGTCCGACTTTCGGGATTGAAGCGGTGCATGCGACTGATTATCGCGCGACTCTCTTGCGCGGGATATCAGCGCCGATAAGCGGAGGCGTCGTCCTCGCGTGCGCGCGAAAAAGCCATCGATAACGCGAGTAGGTCGAGATCCAGGTGAGACACAGGGCGACGCAGGGCGTGGGTCGTAGCACTGATTAATTGAAAGTATGGAATTTTGCGTGCATTTGCATGCACTGAAAGAAGGATTTTGTTGTCGGAACGAAAGTTTGGTACACCGGACTGTAATTCGCTTAACCCTTTGAGTCGTACATTTCATTTCTCGGACTGAAGTTCCTTCAAATTACGGAGGACTTCAGAGTCATTGATTATGAATTTGAAATAAAAAATTGAAATTCCAAATAGTAGGTTCAATATGGCGACTATAAATTTTCGGAATTAACAATCTCGCTTTTAGCATTATCCGAAAAAAACGACGTTTCTTCGATATGAAAAAAAGATCTTTGTATTTTTCACAACAAACTTGCAACAAACATATTAATATTACAATAATTTATTGTAAAATGTAAGCCTTACTAAAAATTCTGAAGAAATTGTGTAAAATACTATTAATTGTCCTTCATAAGCGGTCAATTTTTCGACGTATCGATTTCTAATACTTAGCTCTGAAATGATTTTTGTGTGAAAAAGGACTTTTCTTTACATTTTATTTAATAATAATAATCGAACATTCAGAGTACGTTTTACCTATTTTCCGTTCCTTATGTTTACGAGAATTACAGTAATAATATAATCGATCATATTTATTGATAAGTTAAAATTAAAAAAAATTATTAAAAATGAAGAAAAGATAGATGCCCAACTGTGGCTCAAAGGGTTAAAATGGGATCAACCAAATGCTTGGTAATTGCAATCAAAGTACTTAATTGTCATCAAATGTGTGTCTTGCTTTCTCCATAATACATGCACTTGACACAAATAAAAAACACGATAATGAGATCGTATGTACCAAATAGTTCAGTTCCAAATAAAAATAATTTGTTGCGCCCCTAAGAAAGAAAAGAAGGCAGCTACGCTGCGTCTATGACACGTGGTGGCGCGCGCGCGCGCGCGCGAAGTCGCGATTAGCGGCTACACTTTCTAATAGAACTGTCGCAAGAAACCGAGGGATGTTCTTGCTAACGATAGCGACATTAGTCTCGTTTCCTACTTACATTCCGAATGGCAGTTTCACGCGCGTGACGAATCCGCCGCGGATACATCGGCCGTCGCATCTGCGCGATTGACACGTATTCTTGTTTTTTTGCGGCCTCTCTACCGCGGGAGAAACGCGGAAAGAATTAAAGCTGAGTAGCTAGGTTTTGCACCGTTTTCGCGCACGCGTGACTAGAAATTGCAACTGGCTGTGATCGTTGGCTTAAGTTTTGGTAGATAGCGTCAGTGGAAGCATCCTTCTTTCTCACCTCTGTGTTGAATTAAATAGGTTTTATTTCAGTATCGCCTCCCATTTCCCAAAAATAATGAGATATTTTTGAGAAAATTGTAGATAAATCTCTATATTGCGTATCTAAAAGGAGTCGCAAACAATGTAACATTGGTTTTCAGGACCTGGATCAAAAGTTTGATCAAAATGTTATGTTTTATGGTAACTAGACAAAACACTAGATAAGACTACATAAAAACAAATAGTTGTTAGGTATACGTATGATAGATGAAAGAAGAGCATATTCTTTGGATAATTTGAGAAAGATAAAGAAAAAATATTTGAAAATTTATTTATGGGATATAAAGTTTATTTCTGCGAAATAAACTTTTGTCTCATAAAAATTAATTTTTAATTATTTTTTTCTCAGTATATAGAGGAATGTTTTATTACGCTCTAAATTAATATTCTTTTTAGAAGCAACGGAAAGTGCAACGAAAAAATGCAGCCGGTCGTCGTATAAAATAAGGAAACATAAGAAACTATTCTCACTTAATCCCAGAAATTTAGGCATCAAAAAGTTACGTAAACTCTAAAACATGCACTGAAAAGATTATTTTTGTATTTCGAATTAAAACAATATTTCATACGATTTGGTTGGCATCGCCATGTTTTTATTTGTGCTAGGTAATATATGTATTATTGGGAAAACAAAACACACATAGTGGCAATTAAATCTTCTGATTGCAACAAACATATTTGATCCCATTTTAAGCAAATATTGGTTTAGTTACCAGATTTTCGTGTTGACAACAAAATCCATTTTTTATATCTTTGATGCCTACCGAATAGGTATCTACTGTTTCTTCGGCATTTTTTCTCTCGGTGTAGATTCGACGAAATCGCTTTCGTTGCTCTCGTTAAGGCGGCCTAATGCCCGAAGGAGGGCTAAAAACGCGCGTTCGTACCAATCGTCACGCACGAAAGTATGGCAGTGGCCCGCGGGAGGAGATAGAGGACGCGAGGGTACGAGGAGGAGGTGGTTTCGCGTGCAGGTGCAACTACAACCGAATCGTCCCGCGAGGCCCGCGGGCGATCGTTTATCAACATCAGCTGTCAGCGGTTGCTCGCGGACCGCAAAATGCTCTCGCGCGCACGTCGCTTGCGTACATGCGCGCACACGCGTCCACGTTCTCCAGTCCTTACCATTAACCCACTTGCGCCTTTAGCGTCGTTACTTGCTCTAAGATAGGCGGCAGCTGTACGACCGATTTTCTGCGCTTTGTCCGCGCCTGCACTCGCAAAATCGAGAACGCGAAAACGTAAACGTGGACGAGCGAGTGTCTCTCTTGTCCGCGATCGACCTCCGATCGGTCCCGGCCGGTTCCTTCCTGGAGTCTCGAGAAGGGGTCCACGCGTCTCGACGCGTCAGTCGCCGTGTCAGTCGATTAGTTTGCAAAATTAAATGCAAAAAGCGTGATTGCATTTATGGCGGATTGACCGCCCGAGCGCCAACGCATGCGAACGGACACGCCGGTGCGAACTAGCGACACCCTTTGACCGGATTGAATTTGAATGGACTCATTATCTTCCTTAATAAGCGACACTCTGTAGTATACATGCCGCTAGCTAGCTATCTAGCGAGCCAACTAGCCGGCTGTCTTTCTTATGCCGAGGAGCCGGCACCAGCGTGCGTCTCCTCTTGGCGTCCGCTGCTTTTGTTCACAACCCAATTTTGCGACCAATTGCGATCGACCCTCTTCCGCCGTGGTTCTCATCTGTGCCGCGAGAGATGCGGGATCCCGTCGGCCCCGTGTGCCTCGACGATGTAAACGGTGTTATTACGTCGTGACATTATTGCCGAGTAACAACTCGGATTGGTATCTTTTTGCACTACTTATCTGCCTTTTTAAAGGAATTAAACTCGCGCATGAATCACGCGAGGAAGCTCGAGATGCTCCCAAAATGAAACGGATTTAATCTAGATAACAGAATCGATGGATTATCCTCAGAGATCAATACTGATAATATTGTCACCTGAAATCTGTCTCATGTGGGATATTTTTTATTTAGAGTTGGAACCAAATTTTTCGGTTGAATTATGATATACAGGGTGTTCATCGTAACGATATCCACTATCTTTTTTATTAATCATTATGATCGAGTAGGAAAAAGTTTTGAATGTAATCAATCGGTTTTTAAACGGCAAGAAGATGCAAAAATTTTGGAAATGTTATTTGAAAAAAGACGTTTAATTTTTACTGTTGCGTTTTGTTGCTGTTTAAAAACTGATTAATTGGATCTCAAACTTCTTTCTGTCCTGTCATTGTAACTGGTAAAAATGTAGTGGATATCGTTACGGTCAACTCACTTTATATATGACATTTACATCTACAATTGCGATTCGACTGAAAAACTCTCATATTATATATATATATATATATATATATATATATATATATATATATA